ATTGATATCAGATGCTGCACCCCACCTAATTTTAACGTAGGCCTAATTCTTGGGCGTGGTTCTGAAGAAAATAGTATCGAAATGCACGCCATCGTGCATTCATTTGATTTTAGTCGGATTCAAAATAAATGTTTAACATTTAAAAAAATCATAATGTGGTTTTTCTATTTCAATTTTTTTATGATTAGGTCTACAGTATGTACTCATGTTTTATGTCATTGTTTTAACGTGAACAAAATTAAACATTAATATATGTGTTTTTCTTAATTATTAAGATTGTTTAAATTGTTAATATTACAATTGTCAGATTTTATTCCATTCTGTAAGTGGCGGGTTTTCTCTGTTGAATAAGAGTACAGTGTGAATGTATGCAACGATGTGACGATGATCAGAATTTTACTAAAATATACTGTGTACTTCATTTTAATCATATTGAAGAAAAAGGATGCAGAAACTGTAATACCGTATTTACATTTCATTTTAATTATAAATAACTTGTGGCCGAGTTGACTTGTGGCCGAGTTAACTTGTGGCTGAGTTGACTTGTGGCCAAGTTGACTGCAGCCAAACTTTTTGTGGTCGAGTTGATTTGTGGCCGAGTTGACTTGTGGCCGAGTTGACTGTGGCCGAGTTGACTTGTGGCCGAGTTGACCTGCACCCAGCAACTTACGATACCCTGGGCGGTGCCTGGACTCTCTAGCTAGTAGTAGAAACTATACAACACAGCTTATCATCGTCGTATAGCCGACAGCCTAGATAAAATAACTAACCTCTTCTCTTTGGAACAGTCTTTTTCTGGTCTGATTTCTTTGCAACTATAGGTTCTGGCCATGAATTACCCTCTCCATTTTCGATACCAGGGTTATCGTCCCCGGAAGCAAGTTTCATGAGGGTTTTCTTCTTCAAATTAATAGAATGATCATTCGTGTTCGCTGCCATTTTTGTTTTCATTAGAGCACCACCAACGTCTACAGTTGTATATCCAATCGTTTCAAGATTTTTAAACTGAAAAACTGGACACAAATAACTTTACAACGGCTGAACAAAGCCTAAAAGTTCTGGGTATCACGAGACTACTTGCGAAAAGGTAACTGCTAAAGCTTCTTTATATTTTTTTAGGCCTAGGTACCTAATTTAATAATTACCAATTCGTTATTCTGATTAAATATTCAGTTAATTTGCACATCAAGAGATATTGGTACAAAATTTTAAAACTTTTTCTAATAGGCATATTTTGTTTTTTGGTCTGTGACAGGAGGGTTCTAGAAGCCAGAGCGAAGCTAGGCTCTAACTAAGCGACGTGCGCTGTCACTTGACGGTCGGAAGTGTGTTCGTGCGCATAGCAAAACATCTTCGACCTGGTGTCACTAGGCCTAGCTTATTACTTTCAGATCTGTTGGGAGTGAGGAGACTGTTTCTAGATTTTACGAACATATTCTCACAATGACACAGGTAACTTTTTTTAGTTTAAGAAGGACATTTTTATGTCCTTTTCATAACAAATTCAGTTGCAAATAAATAATATCCTGTGGTTGTGTGCGCAAAATTAGGCCTTGGAATAGATTTTGCCGAAATTAGACCTTGAAATTTAGATCCAATTATTAATATTATGCACACCTATTTTCCTAGCGATTCTCCACACAAGATTTGAGTTAGTTTTTGATGAATCATCTGTGCAATTAAATCACATCCGGTATAGATTGAGTTGCAATTGCAAATTATTCTTACCATTATATATTTCTTTATTTATGAAATTGAGTTAGTTTTTGATGAATCATCTATGCAATTAAATCACATCCGGTATAGGTTAAGTTGCTTTTGTAAAATTGTAAATTATTCTTACCATTATTTATTTCTTTATTTATGAAATTGCATGTGATTGTGAAATTTTCATGATTTATTATGTTTTCAAGACATTGTAATTTTGTTTTTTTATAATTACATTCATATATGACATTGTGTTTTCTTCCTCAGCTTCCCTTGTATTCTTCAATATAAAACTACTTTAAATTTTTCTAATTCTGTTTACAGGAGATCAAAAAGCATTTCCACATGCTAATGGAAACGTAAGTTTAAACCATGGTTTAATTCAATTCAATTAGTACATTTTTCAGAAGACATAATATGTACAATAAAAATATATAATTAACAAAACTACACTAGTCTGGGAAGTGTGTAAGTCAGGCTCCAGAGAAAAACCAAATGTTGATATGTTGTAGAACTGATTTTTCTAAGACAGAAAAAAGTTGTTTGATGAAAACTTTGGGAAGGGTTAATTAGATACAGATTTTTGAATATTTAAAAATGGTGGGAGGGGGTGAGAGGGGGAGGGGGAAGTTGGAAAAAGTGTGGTTTATATGCCCCTTTCCTCAGTTTTTTGTCAAACAACTTTTTTCTGTCTTAGCAAAATCAGTTCTCCAAACATATGAAAAATATTTTTCCTCCGGATCATGAATTTAAAATTCAAATAGACTTAACAACATTTAAAAAAAATTATTGAACTAATAATGTTCTATCGTATTTTTTAACAAACGTACTTTTTCTTTTTGTAGAGTTGATGGCCTTGATGCCATTGTTGTTTCAGATGCAGATGGTGTTCCTGTACTCAAAGGTAGTAATTCATAATTCCTTTTCCAGGGTGGCATGATCAGTGCAGAATTACTGTTCTCCTTTAGAGCCCCTTACACAAGAGTCTACTTTTCATAATGTAAAGTAATTAACATTATGATATTAAATGTAAATATTTAAAAAGTAAAATTCTAAAGAAACCTCTGTGGGTGAAAATCATAATTTTAATTTAGCCTCTTTTTCATGGGCCTATATAGAAATTTGTATTTTATATTGTAGTTGCGAATGAAAGCACACCAGAACAAGCTCTCCGACCAAGCTTCTTGTCCACATTTGGTTTGGCCAGTAACCAAGCCAGCAAGCTCGGACTTCACAACAATAAAATTATCCTGTGCACATACCAGAATCACCAGGTGGGTATAATGAAATATTTATCATTTTTATATCTACTATAATTTTTTTTAGGCTGTGGCTATTGTTACACCGGTCTAAATAAAAATTCCTAATTCTTATTAGATATTATTGTATCATGGATTGGATTAGGACAACAATAACATCCATCAGAATTAGGAAATAGTTTAAAGTATGGTGTAACAGTAGCCACTGCCTTTTTTTACACTTTATAGAGTCTTCTGTCTGTGTTATGGTTACTGGATATGTCAATCCACAGTATAACATAACCCTCTTCTAAAACTTTCCTCTCTTTTGACATTCTGTTCTGGTCTTTTCTGAAAGATTCCAGGTTGTCTCCCCATTTTTTCTACCCCTTCTCTTTACTTTTTCTCTGGTGTCTACTCTTTTAATTTTGTGGTCCACATGGGGCAAAAACAAGCTAAATCAGTCACTCGTCGCAAATGATGTAACATGATTAACATCACCATATATATATTTTTATATTATTTTTTGAGTAATATACTAATAAAAATTCATTACAGTACAAAATACACCTACCTTAACGCAGTTAACCGTTCTATGGCATCGAACACAGCCACGCACGACTGTCTGCACAAATGTACATTCTGTTGTCAATTAATGGATTCCAGCATTCAAACCTGCCGTGCCCAACCCTGAACTAATTACCATACCGCTAATGCACGCAGAATAAATACTTTACATCCAGACATTCATTTAAAAGTTTGAATCCCAAGATTTTTTTTCTCTCAGTTGCTGAACATGTTAAAAATGGGTATTAAAACGTACTGTATGATATACGTTCTATCAGTTTCGCAATATGTAATAATAATAATAAATTTATTTTTATACAGCGCAGAATGCTAGAAACCTCTATGCTCTTTACATTAAAAAGCAAAAGCCAGGTCAGAATTAAAAGAAAAGACGATAAAAAATGAGCAAAAAAGCTTTGTGCAATTAAATCAACAATCAGAAATTTGTCAAAATAATAACAGGTTAATTTTTTTTATTTTTCTTTTTTTTTAATTATAATTGTTTAATTAATTAATAAAATTACAACCAAGTTTTTGTCTCAATTACCTCCTTATTCAATTTTCTTTATTCTTTTCCTTTTTATTTTATATTTCTTATCTATTCAACTATTTCATTGTGTACATTTTGTTTATGTGTTTGGCTTTTCTTTCCTTCCAATAACCCTTGTCTGTATATCCCAAACCCAAGTTCCTTTTCTTGTCTTATGTTCCCCTAATGTTTCCTTCCTTTTTCATTCTAATATTTCCTTATCTTCTCTTTACTTTCTTTTCTCCTGCTTCCTTATCATTTTTTCCTTTTGTTTCTTTCATATAATGACCTATAGGATACAGGTTCATTGTAAATAGGCCTAAACCTTAACCCTTATATTTAAGATTTATAACTGCATTGGGTTTTTTCACATTTTTCCTTTAGGTTATTATGTTCAACAAGTTACCGGTGGTAATCACATTAATAGCAAAGTTAGATGCCAACTGTGGTAAGATTTATTTGTGTTTGTTTAAATCTAACAATTTATAACTGACTGTTATTTTTATTGTGCAACTTAAGTCGGAAATATACGAAGTCGTAAAAGACAAGGTTTGAGACTGAGAGTTTTGTCGTGGGAATTGAATTGTAAACTGAACCACAGAATATAATAATACTTGCTCATGATTATGTTAAGAATAATCAGGTCAGAACTGCAATGTAGAAATACTTGGATCGTTAAAAATGTGTAGGTCTACCTCTCCATTGGATTGGTAATGCAGCCGACATGATTCCATGGAGAACTCCACGAAGCGCACGCAACGAATCGTTTTTAATGACGATCCATTTAAACTGCCACGGGCAAACAGCAGACAGTGTCCCGTTGTCTAAAAGTTACAGGGAGCGAAATTGGATTTGTCAGCTGATTATCCTACGACACAGTGAGTGCCAGCAATAAGGGGATGTGAAAAGGTAAAGAAAGGGAAAAAATTGGAAAAGAAAAGAAAATGAATGAAAAAAGGAAAGGTGAATATGAAGGAAAGGAAATGAAAAGAAAGGTAGCTAAAAAAAGACGAAAGGAAAGTTATTAAGGAAAAGATATGAAAAGATAGGCAAGAAATCAGGAAAGAAGAAATAGGCAAGAAAATATACAGAAGAAAAAAAGGAAAAGAAAAGGAAATGTCCTGATGCCGGACAATACATTTTAGATACTTGGACATTCTTAATTTTACTCAAAAGCTAAAATATCCTCAATGTTTCTATTAATTCAGATGTTTTCCTGTAAATTACATAGTTTTGAGATGAAGCCACACTCATTACACATGGTAATGTTATCCTCACTATTGTAGCTTCTTTACTAAAAAGCCTCTCACATCCTCAAATAAAAATTGACTCAGCCAGAACAATTATTCTTTCAAGTTAATAATGGTATAGATCAAAGTTGTTGAGAGACTAGAGTTTTTCCCGGGCGGGGATTTTGAATACATGGGTGTATGTAATCCATACATTAGCAGCATATTCATAATCATTTGATGAGTGTGTGCATCTGGTTACTTGATTTCTATAAACTCTCAGAAACCACCACATTTTTCCAAACCTACTAAATAAGTTGATGCTCCATTGGGAATACTAACTTTTGAGAATTTGGTTGGAATTGCACTCCTTGAAATAAAATATGTTCAACCTTTTAGCAGCACCCTAGGGGATGATAAAGTATATAGAAAAAATGTAGTATGAACAAACAATGTCAACTTAAAGAAAATATACAGCTCACACTTTGATATAAAAAAACAATGTGCAGTACTGTATAATGCAAATTCAGTTGAAGTACTGGCTACGCCTTATAATAATATACTGAATTTTTAATACTGTTTTTTATTGTATACAGGTATTTCAGTCAAGGATACAACATTGTATATCATTAATATTAAATATAAGTAGTAGATATTAGTACACAGAATTAAAATCAACCTAATTTTATTTATTTATTTTGTAATTAGGTATGTTAATAGCACTGGAGGAATCCTTTGACGAGGTCTTACAGGAGTTGAAAACTGCTGTTGATGTTCCTGCAAATAGTTGAGCTTAGTTGGGAAGAGATGTCTCAGGGAAGCTTGGCTTTTTTTTTTTTTTTTTTTTTTTGCTATGTCAACAGTGATGTCATATGGAGCACTTTATGACTGTTCAATTTGCTCCACAACATCTTACACCTGTTACATAAAATGTATCTGCCAGGGTTTTGTGCAAACTGTTTTCCAGACAAATACAGCAACAAATGTACATGAACAATATACAAAGGCAATGTGTTGACCCATTTTTATTTTAAAATAATTTCTTTGACTTCATAAGAAATACAATTTACCATTCATTTCTGTGAACAGAGGTATTCAAAATGGGTGGATAGAATTAGAACACTGAATATATACAGTAATATCAGGTGGCAAACACTTGTAAATTGTTGGTTGTTGGTGTTTATGAAGTTTCTGGGAGATCATGAAGCTTAAATTGAAAACAAACTTTGTGTTAACACATGTTTGTTTATACAGTATTTAAAATAGATGAAGCCCTAAGGACAATGCATTCCAATCATAAATCTTTTTATTTTTTTTTTTTTTTTGGTTAACTTCCTTTATTGGAGAATATTTTTGTACTATAAATTTAAGAATGTACACAATAGGAATGATGAATTATGATTAGGCTAAAAAAACATTGTTGTGTTGCCCATGCATAGTGGTATTTGGGAATTTGGGTTGGACTGTTGGCAATGTTTTTTTGAGTACAGGCCTAACAGTAGTCCTTGTTCTTGGTTTCAAGACCAACCATTAATCTCTCTATACATTTTGACTGGTAAATAAAAGATGGTAACCACAAGGCTAAACACCATATTCTGAGAGAGCGGGATATATTTCTATAGGGCCACCATATTTCCAGAGGACTGCTGTAGTTCCAGAGAGCTACCGTAGCTCCAGAGGTTTACTATAGTTCTACAGGGCTACCGTAGTTCCAGAGTGCTACCATAGTTCCAAAGGGCTACCATAGTTCCAGGGGGCTACCATAGTTCCAGAGTTCTACCATAGTCCCAGTAGTTCCAGAGGGCTATTTTAGTTTCAGAGATCTACTATAGTTCCAGAGAGCTACCATATTTCCAGAGGACAACTGTAGTTCCAGAGAGCTGTCGTAGTTCCAGAGGGCTACTGTAGTTCCAGAGGACAAAATATATATGTTTATATAATTAATGAATTCTTAATATCATGAATTGAGAAATAAAATAAGTTCTACTAAAATGCTTGTAAGTGGAAATTTTGTGTACTGAAGTTTCTAAAACAAAGAAATGTATTGCATTGAAAACGTTGGAAACATGTACAAATCATTAAAAAGAGTTGAGCTTACAGTACGTCTTTTTCAGTTTCCATTCATAAGCCAAAGAATGAGAAAATTAGTTTCAGAACAGATTATGACATCACAAAACTGATTGGTAGATAATTAAGTTTAGCGAGGTGATACGACGTGACTTGTAACTTATTTTACTCATTGGTAGGCGATTGGTGTGCACAAGCTTTTTGTCCACCTTCTACAACATGCTCCCCCTTTGAGGCCAGTGGAAAATACATTTCCAAGAAACAATATATGTTATACATGCCTATTTTGATCAAAATTACAGGAACTTTATTTTGTATAAGTTATTAATTTAAATTGAAAATTAGAAGTATTAACTCGACAAGTGACATACATATAACATGCAACTGTCCCTGTAGACCCTAAAATTGGCTTGTAATCAATTTTAAAATTTATTTCATAGAAACATGTCTGTATGTCGGCGAAAACTGAATTGTTTCGATCTGTGCCTAATTGACAACATGTTTGACACTTATTTAACGGGTACTGTAATGCAATATTCAATTGATCTTTTATTGGGATTTTTCTCGGGTTTTACCACATCGTATGTTATTGTATTGTATAAATTTCTATTAATTACTGTATTATCTTTTCTCTTTAACACTTACGTTATCTACCGCCCTCTATATCAGGGTTTGCTAGATTTGAGAATGACGCAAACAGGAAGGGTATATTAATGTTTACAGGGTTCCCAGACATTTAAATATTATCGCAATGTCATTCTTTGAAACCCAATCCTAGCTTCGAGCAACCCATCATCATTCATGACGCTTTAAAGCCAAAACCTAACATCATTCTAGTCTTATAACTTTAGGCTTCTTCAGTTTTCCAATTTGTTTTGTAACCTTAACTCGTAGTTACATCACTCTTACGCTGGGTGATTTCTATAAAAAAAAATTTTTTAAAAAGCTACTGATAGAACCATGCGTATACTGTAGTGACAATGCTACATCTAAGTTCGGAAGGGTAAAAATTACTCTAAACATAGTCCATTATCGGATAAGGTGCTATCAGCCATTGGTCATCTGTTAAAACGTAGGACCAATTACCAACTACCTACTACCTGATAAAACTACATTCACACTGTACCTAGCATGCCTGTCTAGTGAAATCAATTGAAATGAATCTTAACACATTCCATTTTACAGGAAAACAGGCCACTACACTAACACATTTTGTTTTACAGAAAAATTGCATGCCACAGCATAGAGTGTATCTGCGGAAGCGCCGTGTACTCAAAAATATTCAAGAAATAGTGAATCTTCTTTGTAGAAACAGCGAGGAGGATTTAAACGCAAAGCTCCACGCAATGTTGTCCCGTATTTGGTGACGCGTTTTAAAAAGTTAAATGTGTTTGGGTGGGCCCATAGCTAAATGTGTTTAGGTTTCTGAAGTGTTTAGCATTATATGATGTGGTTAGGTATTTAACCTCATGATGTCAAATACCTAAGCATATTTTATTCTAAACACACGTCAAGATCCTAAGCACATTGAGATTTATCTAAACATGTTTAGCTTTCAAACTCACCAAAGACAAGACAACATTGCGTGGAGCTTTGCGTTTAATTCCTCCATCCTGTGTTTACAGTGTTATACCATAAAAGTTTGCTCCTTTTTGTCTCCACCGTATTTATCTAACATGGGAAGTTATGCACACTTATGAAATACCGCATTGATCACTGAATTGTTGCCAAAATATGACCAATGTTTGTATACACGATGCTTACCATATCTTGCGTACACACACGCAAAACACGGCTGTTTTGGTGTAGAATTTAGCCGATTTTCTAATCTGCTTTTATCTGAACTGTCTGCTGCTAGTTTACTAATTCCGTTGAAAGAAGCAAACGTTGCCAGCGGATGTTTACTCCCACCGTCCCCTTTTTAAAGTCATATTTAGGCCTAGTATCCATGTCGAAATGTAATTATGCTATCAAGGGATGTAAAAAAGCCTCATGCGGAAGATCTCTTGGCATTTGAAAGCGAAGTTATAGAAAAAATAATAAGGGTATGTTGCTGTCTATATAAAAAAAAAACATTGTATATAAAAAACCATTGGCTCGCGTTCAATGTACCTCCTATTGCGGCGTGTGGATCGAGTGGATAACGTTCTGTTGTAAGGTCATGGCTGAGCAGTGTAATTATTGTGAGAAATAAAACTACAATGTATCTAGAAAATAAGCTCATCACTCATAAAAGAGAGGCATGTGTTGTATAATAGGGCCTACTAACACGTTTTTACACAGCAGCATAACCCGGTTGCATCATAATGTTCCCTGAACTCAAACAACTGCATCTCCTGTTTTGCAATACTAATTTGAGTAAAGGAAAAACGTTTGTTACTCATAACCGCCTAGGCGCCTGTGCAGCACTGGAAGAAATAGGCCCATAGGCCTATTATTGTAGTTCCATCCTTTCAGACCCCTTATAGACCTAATGAGGGGTCTTTGATTTGATTTCCCTTTTTATCGTTTAAAATAATTGTCGCAAAATCATGATTTCACAAACTAACCATTGTACGAAGATTTGTCACTAGGGGCCTACAAGAGCAACGAATGATAGAATACATGCAAATTACGTTAGTATGATAGAGTGGAAGCTGTCTCTTATACACATCTAGATGTGTATAAGAGACAGGTGATACGACGTGACTTGTAACTTATTTTACTCATTGGTAGGCGATTGGTGTGCACAAGCTTTTTGTTCACCTTCTACAACATGCTCCCCCTTTGAGGCCAGGTGCTTTTATCGGATTTGAATTCCCAACAAAGCCACAAATGCCTCCTGGTTGGTTGGCATACACAGCAGAAGGTCCCGGGTTTGATCTACCACAATTTTACCATGTTTACTTGTAAAATTCAGTTCGATGGTAAATGCTTATCTTATTTGTGTAAACAAGTTGTTCTCGGTAGGACACGAACCCACGATCTCCATCGCTAACATGGCATCATATCTAGACCACCGAGCTGGCGACTGATTTGCGTCATGAGAATCAAGTATAGGTGTAATTTTGCTCTACCTGACGTAAAAAATGTACTGAATACTCAGTACGTGTGAAAAAAATCTTGGGAAGAAAGATCGCAAGTTGTTTTTTGACAAGTGTTTTATACCCGTACTGAGTATTCCGTACATTTTCACGTTAGGTTGTTGTGCAAAATTACACGTATACTTGATTCTTGTGATGCAAATCCAGTTATTGTTTATTCCATCTCTATAATAACAATTAACGTTGTGTAAACATTGTGAACAGACTTCTGAATCATTTGCTCGCAAATGTTGTTTATTTAATAAGGGAGCCTATTTTTGTTGTCTTGTACATGAAATGTAAACGTATATGAATTAAGGTCTTTCTAAAATTGTATTTATGACAACTGTATGTCATTTCACATAATATATGCCTTGGAACATAATCATATAATGGTATTACTCTTTTTTGTGGTTCAAAAACATATCTAATTATAGGGACATCAATTTGAGAACTGACGGTGGCCTTTGTGCTGAAGTAAAAGCTAGACCTTTTATACAATATATCTTAACGTCTGCTACCCTCTACCGTGCAGAGCTTTTATTCAAATCATTAAATTAATTTATTTTCTCAAACACCATTCCATAAGCTGTGAGTCTAAAACCGGGCACTCGATGCGTTCGACGGTCGTCGGCCGACGCGATTCTATGGAGTGCAACGCCACGACGCGCGCCCAACGGGTCAGCTCTAGCTTCTGTCGCCTGTCAGCAGACGGCGTCGTGCCGTCTAGTGCTCTCAGAGAGCGGAGTTGGATTCGTCATACGACGCAGTGAGTGCCTGGCTTATAGCATATCACTACTTTTTTCAGTTCTATAATTGATAAGCATTCCGAACTCTCAGTGAATGTGGCTAAACAAGGTGGGAGGGGAGAGGAAGAGAGAGAGAAGAATGGGGGGGGGGGTGAGGAGGAAAAGCATGCCTGGAATAACCTCTCATTTCTACATTTCAATTGTCACGTGTGTCAATAAAATGAATTATATTATCCTTAGTTCTCATGCCAGGGATTGACTGTTATAAAGAGGGTATCTACACGCGCGCTGCTGTTATACGTGCCACTATGACGTGTTAACTTTGAACTTACACTTCACAAATTTTGACGTCAGACTATGCCTACGTAGATCAGCAGGCTACCAGAAGCATTTTTAGCGTTTCTGTAAGCAAATAGATGAACATAAACGTCATACAACTCGATATACGGGATATCACCTCCCCCTTTAATCCTGGATAATCCAATAGGCTGAATATTCCCTGCTTTAATTTCTATAATTATTTTGTCCTTATAATGTTAGAAGTATATATCCTTTGCCCTTGTATTGTTATATGGAAATAAGTGTTTGATTGATAATGCATAATTATTATACGGAAATAAATTTTTGATTAACGGCGCATATAATGCTCTACATACTTGGCAACAATACGCATTATGGTAGTACCTCCGAACCTCTATAAGCCAGTTAGATCGTGTTATAGCGTCATGGGCACATAACGAAGTCATTTAGGCATTTATGGGGTCTGTAATACCTTTTTGACGAATGTCGTAGTGTTGTGTCCTACTTTATAATGAAAAAAGACCTACATGATGTTTGATATCTCCCGGGGGAGCCGATGCCTCCCTCGCCCGCTAAATTGTCAATATTTTCGGGGGCATCCCCCCCCCCACGTCGCCCCCCCCGTCTTTGAAATCCTGGCGCCACCTCTGAACCAGGCTCTTCCGTATAATTTCATCATCATCATCATAACAACTCTTTGGGATACACCAAATATTGGATGCACCTACTTGAAAAAAACAAATACACTTGTACACTCTTATGTTTAATTTTACATAAATCACAATAGATCACATAAATTAACACGTTATAGAGCTTCGTCCGGGGTGCGA